TCCCTTACTTTGCACAGTTATCCTCTTACTTCCTGCTGTTCTGTGGAACAGGAAGTGAAGCAGACAGCAAATAAAATAATAATTTAAAAAAAAACCAGACTATTCCCTACTTTAGCCAATAAAAAGTTTTGTTTTTACGTCGATTTAACCACTCCTACTCTGAAGTATCCTTACTGAGAGTAAAATCTACTTTCCTATATATGAAACTAGCATCCACTTGTCCTTTGTATAGACTAAAGACTTAATTTTCCAGATCTGTTAAAAATCTCTAAGAAATCTTCATACCCAGTTTTTGTAATCTAACCTTGTACGTAAGATTTTCCACCCCTTCCATTAATTTCTTTGAACTTTCTCCATAACTGCTATATCATTTTTATGTGGTGCCTAAAACTTGACCCCCTACTCTAGAAGTGGCCCTACAAGTGATTCATACAGAGACAACATTATATTTGGACCACATGTTTTTATCTTCTTTTTCATGTATCTCACAGTTTTGTTTGCTATTTAGCTGTCTCTTGGCATTGAGTGACCCTGCTTCTTTTTCCAGCTCTGTTTTGCTCATCTGTGTTCTGTTTAAAGTGTATGTAAACCCTAACAATGAACTGTTGTTGTTTTTTTTAGAGTCTGTCTTCTAAATATTCTGCTGAAAGCACTTTGTTATATCTGTTTATTAAGTGCAAGATATACCTGTTAATCCTGACAGAAATTTTGTGAGCTTCTAACTTCCTGTATATGTGCTTAACTTTTATCAGTTAGAATTGTTCCCTGCTCCTTTTGTGGATTATAGAGCACCTCCCCTTTTGTTATGGAAATGGAAAAAGAGATGAGGTGTTCTATAGTCCTAAAGCAGTCTATAATCTTCTTCCTCTAGGGTTAGAATGCTGCTCTTCCATATATACAGTAGAATAAGTGAGCACCACGCTCACTTATTCTACTGTATATATGGAAGAGCAGCATTCTAACCCTAGGGCAGGAAGTGTCATTGGCAAGTTCACCTGGTAAAAATAGAGGTAAACAAAAACTAGAAAAGAAAAGCAATGCATCCACAACATCTAAGAACTGGTAAGATGCAATATTTTACATTTTAGTTCTTGGGTTGAAATATATGTTAACAAAAAAAGGGGAAATGTTATTCCCAGGGCCTCAGTACATATATTTACACATTAAATCTATCTTGAAGGTTACATTCCAGTCATATTTTGAGGTGAGTCTTTTGTAAATTTTTATTAGATATACAAGCAGATGTGATTGTGTCAACATAAATTGTCCCAGCAGAAAGTGTTGATGTTTTTTATTTATAGGTTTTATGTACCTGAACTGTGGCAGCCATATTTGCTTATTATGTATATATTCTGTGCTTCATTTTTCATGCAATTTAAAGTGTTTCCTGTGTCAAGATTCATGTATCATGCTCGTGATTGGGGATTCTGTGCAAAGTGAATTTTCACTACATTCACTAAGCCAAGAGAAAATTATCTTGCAAAGTGAACAGCCTATTTGTCTTTAGTAAATAAACCCCAATGATACATCAACCTCAAGTGGTATATCTTAAATCTGTTTAGCAGCAATGATGATTCCACTATCCAATATACAGAGACACAAAACAGAGATTTACAAGCCTGTAGGTTACATAATTATGAGTATTCCCTTAAAATGCACAATATATCCATTGAATCCAAAGGCTTGCCTATGGTCATAGAATGGGAATTCTTTATAAGGGAATTCCCCTCACTGTAGAAATATGGGCCTTGTATTCAGTAATCTAATTGTAAGTAGCAAACTTTGAACCCATTGGATTTGCTTGAGTGCCAAATGAGTAGTTTTTCCTTAATTATGATGTTTTTCCAGAGGTTTCATTACTTTGTCAATAGAAGAATATTTTCTTGTAATTTGCTTACAAGTGATTAATAAGCACCAAAACATTGTTTTAAACCTGATGAAGAATACCTTTGGATGATACTAATATCAACTAATAGCATAAAACGTTCCCCACAAGACAGGGTCGCTTAGGCTCCATGGCATTCTATTTTCAGTCCTTCAAGCGGAAATCAGGTCACAGAATAGCACTCAAAGTAATGTGGAAATATATACGTCCATCATAATCTGTGGAGATGTTCTTTTAAACATCTTTAGCAGCAGAAATATTGCTCATAGCAACCAATACAATCCTTATGCATGTTTTATAAACTGGCACAGTAAAATAGTGGGTGGATTCTGAATGGTTGTATAAGGAACACCCTTATCTACGGCTTGTTTAAGAAGACTCTTAATTGTATTGAGTGGATACAGACAAACAGATAAATACTTTAAGTGAGTAAACCACAGTGGCCTACTATCAAGGCAGGACTTAATTATTTGCACCTCTAGAATGGATATTACCATGCAGCTTTCAATGACCACAGGTCTTTGAATCCACACCAATAATAATAACAATATAAAATAACATGAGTGAATTGCAAATCTGAATAATTTTCTTCCTGAACACATGCAGAGGGAAAATATAAAGAAAGAAGGGGCGGTCTGCCATACCTTAAAATGTTGCCATCATAGGCTCTGGCCTATATGGATTTTACACAAATTCCTCATTGCCTTCTAGGTATACTAGTTTTAGCCAGCATGCTTTGTGCTTGACATTGCCTATAGGCTTTAACCTTGTCTGTATTTGATTTTAATGCCACTATGAAAACTATCATCAGATCCATCCTTAGTATTGGGGCACCCCAAAACTATCCCTCATTTACTGAGGCAAAACATTCCCTCAAAACATGTTTATAGCCACCCCAAAACCAGTGCAGTGTGAGGCAGGTGTCTAGGTTTGCTCGTTTAGCAATAACTGCACCATATAATCTATAGCAGGTTATAGCCAGTAATTTATGTGTCCTGCTTTGCTTTAGCTGCAGCCTTAAAATTAAAACATATATCTCCAGGCTTATAGATTCATTTTAGCTTTTGAGGTATTCATAGATGATCTACCCAATTGAAATAGAGCATGAAAATGGCATAAAAGAAATAGATTGGTGTGATCTTTCATAAAATGATGGCTGACATACCAATGACTTTATTTATTTTTTGTGCTCAAGTTTTATAAATCTGCCCCACATTACCATTTATCTGTCTGGGGGCCCATTTATAATCCTAATGCTGCGATGCACATCTGATTGAATAATCGTCTTAGCTTCACTAATATATTGTGTGGGGGACCTACGTGATTGGGTGTAAATTGAAGGGTAGGCCCTTACACTACACAGTTGATGGTATATCCAAAAGAGATTATACATAGGTTGTACAGTTACATTGTAATGTGTGTCGCCATCTTTAAACTGCTGTTGAAAGCTAAACATGTTCTGCTGTATAAAAAAGAACCAAGGTTGTTACAGCACCTAAAATATGAATATAGCATTTTAATTTGATGAACAGAACATTTTTTTATTGTATTTGTGGCACAGACTTTGATGTAACTGACCTCAAGAACTTGCTGTTCCATATTGATGGATGAAGCACAGTGATATTAGTCAAGTATGTCAACTCCCTCTTCATTCATGTATGTTTCAGGTATAGGGTATAGGGAAAATCCCAATTTGATGAAGATGATATCATATTACATTATAAGTAGTGGTTTACAATACATTACTAAACCTAAACTACATTTTATCATTGTAATTAGTATTACCTCCTACACATTCATTACACAACTTGGTTTCCCTGATATAATCCATAAACCTTATAAATATACACATACATGTACTGCTCATTAGTATAGAATTGTGATCTCTTTACTATAAATTGTCTCCATCTATTTTCATCTGCAAAAATATTTACAAACGGGCTATTAAACTGCACGAACATCATCAGAGTATCTAAACAGAAAAGTTTGTACTTCTTGCATACTATTTTGAAAATAAGTGTCATATTTGATGCTTTATTAGTTGTTTACGGCACCATTCACATACAAGTCTCTACATTGCTGCATCGTACTAAATAAGGAGTGGTTAAGCTTGTATTGTAAATCTAGTGCTAATTGAATTTTTTTTCGGAACTGTTTTAGGCCTGCCGTTATGAAAGGTCGTGCTACAATACAAATACAGATACTGTTTACCCTACATTAGAATTAAGCAATATGACATCCACCATGAAGGCATGTACTGATGATACAACATAACATACTGTATACCAAAAAACCTCTAGATAGATTGTTTTTTCTTTTTTAAAGCATTCCTTTAAAAGTCTTAACATAGTTGTACATGGTCTCATTAAATATTCAAAATGGTATTGATAAGCATTATAACTGGGGGGTTTTTTTCTCCATATGCTAGATGTAGAGTATAGACTATTATCCTTGTTATCTGTAAAGGAAGGATTGATGTCCACTGCATATCTTGAGCTCAATTTCCATTCTTCCTATAGTAAAAGCATTTGACAACGTATATTAGAATTCAATATAACTACACAGGCACACAGTTATTCAGGCTAGTTTATAACCAAATCTCACCTGCTTTATTTAAGGATCATAATCACAAAATGTAAAGCCAGAAAAGATTATTCAATAAGACAATGCAAAGAGCAGCTGTGTAGCACAAAGAACGTAAACGAAAGCATCCAATCACATTTCACGTACTGCCGTTTATAATATTCACAGCAATGCCAGCCAATTTCTGATTGGTTGTTGCTATGTATTACTGCACTTAGCATATTTTTTCTTTGCTTTACGCAAGGCCACTGCATGTGAATTGCAAATCCAACACACACTGCTTTTAATAAGGCATTGCTAGCAACAGCTCGGATGTGCAAAGTGCATACCCTATGCGAACCAATTAGATTTAATCAATTTACAGATGTTGAAGCAATAACAGATCATTTCTGATTGGCTGATAGGGTGAGGCTGATATGATATTCTTGCATACCCATTCATATGATTTAACAAGACCAATAACATATTTAAAAAAGAGCCTGCAATAACTAAAAAAGGTTAATACAGATTACAAAATATAGATCCAGATTACCTATGTGTATATTTAGATCCATGGCGCTAGGCAAGTATATAGTCTCCACCCAGATCCAGGTAGCTTACTGCTTCTCCTTCTTGCCCTTTGTATGCATCCCAGCTATAGGAAACGTCTCAATGAATACTCCACCTTGACCGTGGGCTGCTGATGAGAAGGTGTGCCACCCAAACACCACACCAATTTGCGGCTTGCAGCGTCAGAACCCCAGAGATGCTACATACAGATGCAATCACTCCCAGGATTGTAGCTGCACTGCATAGTGTCTATCGGATAAATCCGCAGATATGGCTTAGTTCAAGATAAATCCTCTGCAAACATCTATAAACGTTGGTTTGTCTGCAAGCTTTTAGCTAGCAGTGTTTCCTTGGCTTCCTCTGTGTGTACATCTCCGGTCAGCACAGACTGACTGCGCCTTGCTGCTGAGAGGTGGTGCTGATCTGTGTCACTGTGTTTTGTGAATGCGGATATTCTCAGTTATCTTGTGAATGAGTTAAGGGGGTGGAGAGAGGAGTGATCCAAGGGCTTTTGTCAGTCTCCTCACTGGCTGTGTGGATGTCTCTGTCTCTCCTTCTCATAGTATAATTATTTTATGATATATCTCCATGCAACTGAAATGTCCTTTTCTCTCTGTTTTCAATCACACTCTCTGGCTTGCACTACAAGCCCTATAGAAATGTACATTTCTCATTTCTAATTCTGAAATCCCTGCAAAGCAGCCGAATGCTTCAACAAAAAGAGCTGAATGATATATTTCATAGAATCGATGAGAGTGTTATTCTATGCATGCTCCAGTAAAATTTCCCCATCTCTCTCTTTTTTCTTCTCTCTCTCTCTTGCTCTCTCTCTCTCTCCATCTCTCTCTTTTTTTTCTTCTCTCTCTCTCTTGCTCTCTCTCTCTATCCATCCCCCTCTCTCCCCCTCTCCCCATCTCTCTCTTTCTCCTCTCTCTCACACTCTCTCTCTCCCCCCTCTCTCTCCCCCTCTCTCTCTCTTTCATTCTTCTCTCTTTCCCCCCTCTCTCTCTCTCCTCCCCTCTCTCATTTTCTCTCTCCCCTCCACCCCCTCTCTCTTTCTTTCTCATCCCTCTCTCTCTCTTCTCTCTTTCATTCTTTTCTCTCTCTCTTTCCCCTCTCTCTCTCTCCTCCCCTCTCTTTCTCCTCTCTCTCTCACACTCTCTCTCTCTCCCCTCTCTCTCTTTCATTCTTTTCTCTCTCTCTTCCCCTCTCTCTCTCTCTCCTCCACTCTCTCATTTTCTCTCTCCCCTCCACCCCCTCTCTCTTTCTTTCTCATCCCTCTCTCTCTCTTCTCTCTTTCATTCCTCTCTCTTTCTCTCCCCTCCAACCCCCCTCTCTCTCCACCCCCTCTCTCTCTCTCCACCCCCCTCTCTCTCCCTCTCCCCATCTCTCTTTCTCCTCTCTCTCTCCCCTCTCTCTCTCTCCCCCTCTCTCTCTTTCATTCTTCTCTCTCTCCTCCACTCTCTCTCTCCCTCTCCCCATCTCTCTCTTTCTCCTCTCTCTCTCTCTCACACACGCACACACACACACTCTCTCTCTCCCCCTCTCTCTTTCATTCTTCTCTCTCTCTCTCTTTCTCCTCTCTCTCCTCCCCTCTCTCTCTCCATCCCCCTCTCTCTCTCTTTCATTCTTTTCTCTCTCTCTCTTTCCCCTCTCTCTCTCTCCTCCCCTCTCTTTCTCCTCTCTCTCTCACACTCTCTCTCTCTCCCCTCTCTCTCTTTCATTCTTTTCTCTCTCTCTTCCCCTCTCTCTCTCTCTCCTCCACTCTCTCATTTTCTCTCTCCCCTCCACCCCCTCTCTCTTTCTTTCTCATCCCTCTCTCTCTCTTCTCTCTTTCATTCTTTTCTCTCTCTCTTTCCCCTCTCTCTCTCTCCTCCCCTCTCTTTCTCCTCTCTCTCTCACACTCTCTCTCTCTCCCCTCTCTCTCTCTCCTTCTTTTCTCTCTCTCTTCCCCTCTCTCTCTCTCTCCTCCACTCTCTCATTTTCTCTCTCCCCTCCACCCCCTCTCTCTTTCTTTCTCATCCCTCTCTCTCTCTTCTCTCTTTCATTCCTCTCTCTTTCTCTCCCCTCCAACCCCCCTCTCTCTCCACCCCCTCTCTCTCTCTCCACCCCCCTCTCTCTCCCTCTCCCCATCTCTCTTTCTCCTCTCTCTCTCCCCTCTCTCTCTCCCCCTCTCTCTCTTTAATTCTTCTCTCTCTCCTCCACTCTCTCTCTCCCTCTCCCCATCTCTCTCTTTCTCCTCTCTCTCTCACACACGCACACACACACACACACACACACACTCTCTCTCTCTCTCCCCCTCTCTCTTTCATTCTTCTCTCTCTCTCTTTCTCCTCTCTCTCCTCCCCTCTCTCTCTCCACCCCCCTCTCTCTCTCTCTTTCATTCTTTTCACCCCCCCCCCCTCTCCCTCCCCCCCCCTCTCTCTCTCTCTTTCATTCTTTTCTCTCTCTCTTTCCCCTCTCTTTCTCTCCTCCCCTCTCTTTCTCCTCTCTCTCACACTCTCTCTCTCACACTCTCTCTCTTTCATTCTTTTCTCTCTCTCTTCCCCTCTCTCTCTCTCCTCCCCTCTCTCTCTCCATCCTCCTCTCTCTTTCTCCTCTCTCTCACACTCTCTCTCTCCCCCTCTCTCTCTTTCATTCTTTTCTCTCTCCCCTCCACCCCCTCTCTCTTTCTTTCTCATCACTCTCTCTCCCCATCTCTCTCCCCCTCTCTCTCTTCCATTCTTCTCTCTCTCTCCTTCTCTCTCTCTCTCTCTCTCTCTCCCTCCCCATCTCTCTCAACCTCCCTCTTTTCTCTCTCCCTCTCCTTTCCACTCTCTTTCCCCCCTCCCTCTCTCCCCCCTCCCTCTTTCTCTCTATTTCTTTATCTTCTCTTTGTCTCTTTCTTCTTCTTCTCTTTCTCTCTTTCTTCTCCTTCTCTTTCTCTCTTTCTTCTCCCTCTCTCTCTCTCTCTCTCTCTCTCTCTTTCTCCCC